TCGAACGTAGCATCCATCACCCTCTCTCTGGTCATAATAATACGGAGATGATAAGTAAGGCCATCAACAAATCTCCCCCAAACAGATGGCATGACGAGCCAACTAAGAAAACCTCGACTCATACTGTGACACAATCATATCCCCCTGTCGCAACCACTCAAACTGTCTACGCAGCTCCTCTCTGTGGGACTGCGGCACATACTTCTCCAGGAAGAGAACGGAGAACTGCTGCCAAGTAAGGGGCGCTGTACCAACAGGCCTACGCCTCTCATACGCCTCCCACCAAGTGAAGGCATCCCCAGAAAACTGAAAGGTAGTAAATGACACACCACTAGTCTCAAGAATCCCTGCTGTACGAAGCATCCGCTGGCACTTATACAAGAAACCCTGGGCATCCTCGCCCTCTGCACCGCTGAATGTCGGAGGCTGGATTCTGCCAAACCTCTCAAGTCGATGCTGCTCATCATCCGTCATAACTGGTACTACAAACTCCTGAGCTGGTGCAACCGGCTGGGCTGGAGATACCCCCGGCGTCTGAAGTCCCTACACAACCTGCTCAGGTGTGCGAGCGGAATACCGGGAGGCTCAGTACTTCAACTAGTCTCCATGTTCCTCGAATGGATCTCTTAGGGAGTCTGATTGCCTCCCCCGGCCTGTGAAGTAGCTGCGGTCGTAGTGGATAAAACTGCCTGAGCCAGGCCAGTGCAAACTGACAAGATCTGTGCCAAGGCCTCCTGGAGACCCAGAATCACGATGGCCACAGCTGGTGCCTGAACTGGTGCTGCTGGAGCATCCATAGCTGGAGCCTGATCCTGAGCTAGGGCAGCTGGTGGATCTACAAGTGCTGCTTCGCTGCTCTGCCTCTGCCACGACCGCGTCCACGGCCTCTGGTGGCACTGGTGGTCATCCACCCCGTCCGGTAGCTCGTGTCCTCACCATTTATGAGAGAATAGAATAACAGAAGTTTATTACTCGGATCAACAAGTTCGCACGACAAGAATTTCAAGAATGTGAAATTTTTCCTAAAGGTTTAGCAGCCTCTCGAGGATAAATACAGACGTCTCCGTACCGATCCGCGAGACTCCACTAAACCTGCGCATGACTCGTGAGACCTATGTAGCCTAGGCTCTGATACCAACTTGTCACGACCCTAACCCCGAACCCGGTCGTGATGGCGCCTCTCATAAAGACAAGGCCAGCCAGTTTAACCCAAATAATCTTTTAACAGTTAATCAACACAAAAATAGTCTAAATCATGGTTTAATAACACTGCATAGTGCAAATATAAATAATAATGCGGAAACCCAACCTGACACAGCCCTAACCGGGGTGTCACAAGTCACGACCATCTATAGACCATACACAAGTCTGCTAAATCCAATACTAATACAAATGTTTGAAAGGGAACAGAAAAGATAGAGAGACATAGACACGGGGCTGCGGACGTCAGCAGCACCTCGTAATCTCCGAAAGCCGCCTGGAACTGGAGGAATCAGCAATCAGGAACGGAACCAGCAACGCCTGAATTTGCACACATGGTGCAGGAAGTAATGTGAGTACTCCGACCCAATGAGTAACAAATATAAATAATAACTAAAAGTAAGAAAACACGTAAGGCACACGGCATTCTATAATGAAGCAGTAAAAGAATCACTTAAAACAGTAAAACAGTGAAGAGTCAAGTAAAAATCCCTTTTCAACAAGTAAAACAAGTAATTGACAGGTAAGTAAACAAATAGAAGTTCGCCCATCGGGCACAGTATCAACGAATCCGCCCCTCGGGCAACATCTCAGAACAGTACCAGCCCCTCGGGCTCAATCTCAGAACAATGCCAGCCCTTCGGGCTCAATCTCACATCACAATGGGTACCCGCGCTCACTGGGGGTGTACAGACTCCGGGAGGGACCCCTTATGGCCCAAGCGCAATATCAAGCCATCTCGTGGCATCAAATCTAGGCCCTCGGCCTCATATCAATCAAGCCACCTCGTGGCGTATATATGTATCTTAGGCCCTCGGCCTCATATCAATACCAGTGTATCCTCACAACTAGGTCCTCGGCCTTACTCAGTCCGAAAATCATCACAAACCCCTCGGGCAATAGTAAAACAGTATTTCTCAATCCAAAACATCATTTAAAATATCATTTAAGTCTCAAAATTGAGTAAAAATGGCTGAGTAGTAAATTAGTGGAAAATAATGGGACCGAGTTTAAGTAATAAGTTAAAACAGTGAGGAAATAGTAATAAAAATCCCCGAATGGTTCAAATAGTTGGCACGAAGCCCAAATATGGCAATCAGCCCAGAGCATGATGAAAGCAAATAAATTTCAGTCAAATATACGGTAAAATCATCAATCGGGACGGACCAAGTCATCGTCCCCAATAGTGCACGACCCCACGCTTGTCATCAAGCGTGTGTTTCACCTCATTTCATATGAATATCTTTAACTTTCATCCGTTTGATCAGATAACAAATCAGAATGATGTCGATGAGGCAGAATTAATCGGTAATTCTGCTCTTCCATTATTACCATGTTTTACAAAATTACCTAACTAACTGTTATATTTGTAGATGTCATTGGTCAGGTTGTGACGTATGAAGATGTTAAGACTCACAAGCAAGGAGATAACAAAAGTGTATTTCTCAATGTTACACTCGAAGATGATCAGTAAGTTATTCACTGATACAAACTTTACTTTTACAGTTTAATTATTTATATTATTTTGTTGATGACCGATTACCTTGAAACTTATAGGAGGAACAACATTACAGCAACCTTATGGAGTGAACTTGTGGATCAAATTCAACATCACTTGAATGGAGTTATAGACGAACCTTTGATTGTTATTTTACAATTTATGAAACCTCAAAAATTCCGAGGTTTACCAACTTTACATCTATATTTAAAATTTAGTTTCAAACAAAAATTATAATTTCTAATTTTTGATTTATCTTATCTGCAGGTAACTACTCAGTGCGTAGTTGTTGGTACTCTACAAAACTTTGGATCAATTCTACTCCACCGTAGTATGTTGAGTTTAAATCTAGGTTTGTAAAGGATGTAATTTTTTATTTCTGTGTGCTTACATAATGTTACTAAGATTTATCACTTTTACCACGTTGCGACTTATGCAGATTAGTTGCAACATGTCAAATTAACTGTGAGCGGATTACTCAAACAAACTCTCAACAAAGTTATTCTGTCAAAGATGAGTTAGCTCTTAAAATACTACTGCATATATGGTAAGCATTACTGTCGTTCTTGTGATACAAGTATCTTATGCAAATTTGCTTTAAGACTATAATAAAGGTGAAATAATTAATTAACTTTAACTTTAACCACCCTTCCTCATTGACAGTTTGAAGTAATTGTATATTCATGTGAAATGGCTAGATGCTGATATTCAACATATGGATTTACAATTGTGTGGTTTTCAGCGTTTAGTCGAAAATCCAGCAAAAGACTTTTTAGCATTTTAAAAGTTAAACTTTTATTTGCTGCTTTTTTTTTCCTTCCGTTTATTTTCTTATAAGTAGAGGACGTTTGTTAAAATTTTATTACTATGGTTCTGTATATATTTTGTTTTTGTGCTTTTACTTTTGAACAATTTACTATGTTAAATGGACCCCTGTTATTTCAATGTTATTATTCCAATATACTTATAGTTTTGTTTGAGAAACATGAATTATAAATTATGCTAACTATTAATGTTTAAAATTTCTTTTCAGAATTTGAGGATGTCAATATTGACGGTGATATAACATGTATGCTATTAGAAGAACACCACAACTAACAGTTATACATACAAGTTTATTAATATTTAATTTTATGTATCAAGGGGATATGCAATCAAGCTTACAATATCATCATGAAAATGAAGATGAAGATGTGTTTGAAGGTATGTTTTTAGAAACCCAACAATGATCGATCATGTAAAAATGTATTAACAATTCAAACTATATTTACTTCTTAATTTTTATATTTTATTATTATTATTATTTGTAGAGGTTGAAGTCGAAAGATCGACAATTTTCAATGAAGGTAAGTACGATGGTTATTAAATTTACATATACAACATAATTCTATTTTATGTATAACAAGTATTCTTCATTTTTCTTCCTTGAAAAGGTTTGTTCACGTTTTTATATGTGGACTTCGTGAATATGCAGGAGTCTAATTTATATCATCCACAAATTTATACTGATTAGTATTCGTTGGTAAATATTCTCTTACCTGAAAAGGTTGTGCAAGAGTTTGATACTTCAACAACTTTAGATTCCATTAAAAGGGCACAAAGAAAACTACAAGGGTAGCTCAGCAAGAGAAGATATTCAAATAAATCTTAAAAATTTCTGTGAAGTTAAACTAGCTACTTCACTTCAGTTCTCTATATAATGTCTTTAACTTGACAATGCATCCTTCATGAATACTCAACTTTCTCTTCTGTAATGTAGGTTTCTGCAGTTAATTGAGAGAAACATATACCATTGGATGACTGATACTAATGCAATGTAAAATAAAATTATCAGTTTTTGCAAAGTTAACTGAAGTTTGCAACAAGACGAGGCCATCCCTAACTTTTATTCGTGAATTATCGTCTGATAAATATGTGTAAATTCCATAAAATAATATATTATTTTTCCGAGACTTCGATTTTATCCATCATGTAGAATACAAGCTAGAGACAACACCAAAAGGTTGATATTGCATAATTGCACGCATGTGTACCTTGTGCAATTCTGCTGTATTTCACCTTTTTAATGGTATTGCTAATTAACTAATTGCCTAATTTATGCTATAATTTGTCTAATTTAAATTTCTTTATTACAAAGGTCTCATCAAACAATCTTAATTCTCATCAAGTAATTTTAAGCAGACGCTATTTGTTGCCTTTCGCAAACAGTGCTAATACATGTAGCCAATACTCTAAATTTTTATTTTCTTCCTTAATAGCTGTTTATTAAAAGTATTAATAGGATAAATTACTTTCTTAAACTCCCCGCTATATCAAGTCGCGTTGACCCTATAAATTTTATCATCCTAACTTTCGTATTTGGGGAGGAGAAAACCAAAAACCAAATTCTCCTCCTAAATCACATCATTCATTTCACCAATACTGTTATCAATCCAAATGGGGACCTACTTTTGGATTTCCTTTTTCACAATTCTCATCCAATTAATGGCTACTGTAAAATCCCAGCAGCTAATCGAGTCCCAATTGAATACCCCTAGCTGTCCTGGACCCGACCCGACACTTAATTACCGGCCGGTCATCGGAATTGTTAGTCATCCCGGCGACGGCGCTTCGGGGCGGCTCAATAACGGCACTGATGTCTCCTACATCGCAGCTTCTTACGTCAAGTTTGCTGAAATGGCTGGTGCTAGAGTTATTCCTCTTATTTATACTGAGCCTCCTGAAATTCTCAATCAAGTAAATAACCTTTTTTTTCCTTCCTTTAGTTCAGCTTTACTTCGTATTTTTGGAAAATCAGATTTTGTCAATGAGTACGTAATTACGTTAATTAAAATGTGCTTTTTATGATAGCTTAAGCTTTTAGTTTAGATGATCAAACTTAGTTGGCAAAGGTCCTAGGTTGGAGTCTTATCACCCCATCCAACTATCAAAAAGAAATGAGAAATGTATGTTGTTAGCCACTCCCAAAAATAATAGCCGATAAAATGCATATCTTTTGTATATATGTGCGTATTATATACATATAGTATACATATTTTATATACTCTTTGGCTATTGGATGCAATTAGTTTCAACCGACTGGCCAATTTTGTATTTCTCCCGAAAGAATGTCCAAGTGCTTGGCCCATTAAAAAGAACTAGGCCTACGCGTGAGGGCGTGTAATACTTGATTAAAGTAAATAATAATGTTAACAACTTAAGCTTTTAGATGAGATGACTAATTTTGTACATAGGCATCTGGTATTAAGGGTCTGTTTGGAAAACCACTAGGTAATTGGAATTAGTGTAATTACTAGGGTAGTAATTACACGCCTAGTAATTACACAATTGTGTAATTACGATGACCTGTTTGTTTGTCATAGTGTAATTACAATGTAATTACAAAGTTACTATTTGGTTGCACAAGTGTAATTCCACAGTTAGATTAAATTTTAAATAAAATAATTATTAAAACTAAAAGTTAAATATAATAAATATATGCCTATAAAATTTTATAAGTATAAATAATAATATATTTGGTATTTAAGATGTATATTTTTTCGTGAATATACATTAATTAGTAACCATATATTTATAACTAATATTATAAAAATAATTTATATATATATTTTTCAAATTAATAATATTTAGTTTAGATACTTACAAAAACTAAAATATACGTCTTGTAAGAACATCATGGAATTCATGTTTGGTGAAATAAATTAATATTTATAAATATAATGTCATAACATTATTCAAATGTTTGACAAAACTAATCTATCAATTCTAACTAAAAAATGAACAACATGCAATGTGAGCCAATACTACTAAAACAAGCAAACTAGAACCATGAATATAACACAATTTCAAAATTCCAAAAAAAAAATAAAATAGCTTAACATATGTCAATTCCAACATAATAATAATAAGTTCCACTACAACTTAAGATTAGGAAATATAATAAGTTTATAACCACATTCAATAACAAAATTCCACTTTAATTGCNACACATTTTACAAAATTCAACAACAAAAAAAAAACCGTTTAACATATGTCAACTTCCAACATAATAATAGTAAGTCCCACTGCAACTTAAGATTAGGAAACATGATAAGTTTATAACCACAGTCAACAACGAAATTCCACTTTAATTGCATCACTCATTATACGCCAAGTTTGTTAATGACTCATTATTTCTAATATTAGGAGGTGTAGTTTCAAAAATTGAATAATAAAATAAATAAAATATAAGCAAATTACATGGAATCACAAAAAGTAAAGATAGAGAAATAAAAGATAAATAATGTACAAAGAAAAATATATTTTAAAAAATTAAAAATTAAAAAGTAAAAATAAATTAAAAATTAAAATAATAGAAATAAAAATTTATAAAGAAAATAAATTAAAATAAAACAAAAGGAAAAAACTAAAAAACAACATTGTAATTACACAGTGTAATTACCACCCCCCCCCCTCCCCCCGAGAATTGAAGAGTGTAATTAGACCTCTCCAATTACACCCAATTCCATGCTGACCAAGTAATTACTTGTCCAAACAAACATGCCAAACTGTGTAATTACACCCAATTACACCAAAATCTATTTCCAAGGTGGCTTTCCAAACAAACTCTAAATGGGTCTGAATTGAGGGAATTGGTATTGAGGATTTGTATAGGTGATCATAATAAGTTTGGGATTTAGGAGTAGTTGATTGATTGGCTCATTGGTCCTTTTCATAAGTCTACTTTTAAATTACTCTCCTTTTCAATTTATATGGCTTAGTTTATACGGAGTTTAAGAAAGAAAGTACTCGCCCTGTCTCATTTTGTTTGGCACTATTTCCTTATTAGCTTGTTCCAAAAGTTATGACATGTTTAAGATCACAAGTTTCAAGAGTCTTATAACCACATAAATATTATGGTATATTTAAGACTACAAGTTTTAAAAGTCTTTCCTTTCTTTCTTAAATTTCGTGTCGAGCGAAATTATGACAAACAAAGTGACGGAGGGAGTAAGACTTTTGAAACTTGTGGTCTTAAATATGCCATAACATTTGTGTGGCTATAAGACTTTTGAAACTTGTGGTCTTAAATATGCCATATCATTTGTGTGACTGTAAGTCACAATTGAATCTCCCTAGCTGTCCTGGACCCGACCCGACACTTAATTACCGGCCGGTCATCGGAATTGTTAGTCATCCCGGCGACGGCGCTTCGGGTCGCCTCAACAACGGCACCGATGTCTCCTACATCGCAGCTTCATACGTCAAGTTTGCTGAAATGGCTGGTGCTAGAGTTATTCCTCTTATTTATACTGAGCCTCGTGAAATTCTCAATCAAGTAAATAACTTTTTTTTTCCTTCCTTTAGTTCAGCTTTACTTCGTATTTTATCAATGAGTACGTTATTACGTTAATTAAAATGTGCTTTTTATGATAGCTTAAACTTCGAGTATCATCACCCCACCCAAATATTAGAAAGAAATGATAAATGTATATTTTTAGCTGCTCCAAAAAATAATAGCCGATAAAATGCATATTTTTTGTATATATGTGCGTATTTTTTTTTGGTAATTAAAGAATTTTATTACCAAGTAAATATTTACAGCTTACAAACAACCAACTACAGACATCTTCTGCTGGACATGAAGCCCCAGCATGAGATTTATTCTCTACTTCTTAAACTCCTAATACAACCCTTACTTAGCTCATACTGGATACATATTCATATTACTTAGATACGTATCCAGTTTTTTACAACTTTGAGCTCTTATGTGTATCTCCTGAACTATCGTTTTCACTATACTTTGTGCGGTGATTTGTTTCTTCTGGAAAATAACACTGTTTCTGGCTTGCCAAATATTGTAGACTGCTGCAGCCAAAATCATTCTGTATATCTCTGCTCCCGTACTCTTCCCTGCTGCTTTCTTCTCTGCCCATTGAACCTCTTCCTGCCACTGTTTTTTCCTTCTCATGATCCCTTGCCAGGATAGTAACTTCTGCCATATCTCGTTTGAATAATCACAGTCAAAAAACAAGTGCTGCACTGTTTCATTGTTCCTATGGCACATTGTACACAAAGTTTCATCTACTAAGCCCCATCTTGCTAGTCTTTCTTTAGTAGCTAACCTGTCTCGTATAGCTAGTCTTAGGATAAAGATNTGAGTATTCCCAAGGATTCTATATATTGGCCACCTTGTACAGAGAGCCTAGTTATATTCCTACACATGTATCTGCATCTAGTGGTGCTTAACTTACAGCTGACTGCTGATGCCACAGGACCATTTGCTCCAACCTTGGTGGTGCAGGATTATTCGACACATGGCTTGTATGTTGTAGCAGGATGCCCCATAGATTGATCGAGTTGTGAGTAAGCGTACTGTTATAAAGAGGAGACGACTTAACAAAAACATGTGAATAAACATCTCACATTTTAGCGAAAGTAAATAATTAGTAATTTACATTGATTTTAGCAAATTAAGTAAATAAAAGTAATTAATAGAATTGTAGTTTAGCAAAGTCGAAAAATAAGATTAAAACTACTTGTGGAAAGTTGTTAAATACTTTAACAAGAATCTGTTAAAATTGGTGAAAATTTACCCATTTAATCTGTATTATCCGAAGCATTAAAGTATATAAAGGTTGCTATGCAAGAACGAATTATTATGTGATCAGTGAACTATTTCCTTTCTGTGAGTAGTCTTAAAAATTGGTCCATGTATGTTCATATTTCGTTATATCATGTACGAACATCTGGTTTTTCCTTATATTCCTACTCGTGGTTGGACAGAGAATCAGTACAACTGTGATAGAGAATCAGTACAATTGCCCTTCTATCCTACTGTCTAAACAGCAATAAGCATCTGGTAGAAAGTTATGTGGGCGAGCATTTCAACTTGAAAATGGCGATCAGAAAGAAGTATTTATACATTTTTTTGGTTTAACCATCCCATATCGAGAGCCCACTGTATCCGGCTGTAGAAAGCCCACTATGTGGTGTTTAAGTGCTCCGTACGAAAGGGGACTCCGTTTCCAGGGCTCAATGCCAAGACCTCTTGTAAGGATGGAGGAACCTTTACAATTTCATCATGTCCTTTGGTGGTGAAGTATTTGTACTTCATAGACTGCATAGTAGCTGCTGACCAGAAAACTTTAATATTGTCCATTTCTTAGTTGTATCATATATCTAGATTAATGTCCCAAAGTTGTGTTAAGGATGGAGGAATCTTTACCATTTCACCATACCCCTTGGAGGTGAAGTATTTGTACTTCATAGACTGTAAAGTAGCTGCCAAACAGAAAGCTTTAATATTGTCCATTTTTTACCTGTATCATCTATCTCGATGATTAATGTTCTAAAGTTGTATTTTTTTGAAGTCGTCAGTTGAAAATATAATTTTCGTATGAAACTTTGTCATTTGTGTTCTGGTATAAGTTGATGGAGTTTCTGATTTCCTTTCTTTAGCTACCAGAGGAACACTTGCATTTATGCTGGGTTTCATTTTATTTCAGGAAATACTGGTTGATAGGTCTGTTCATGCTGCAACTGGCCGCTTTTTTACTAGTGATTTGGGTGGCAGACAGGACAAACCTCTTTTACTTAAGGATGATTTCCTGCATGCCATGCATGACTTTGTTCCAGTGGCAATGCGTGACATCACTAAACCGGCTGCTGATGGTGGTCGGTCTGGTTGGGAGGATGTTGGAGGTCTTAATGACATCCGGAATGCTATTATAGAGGTAAATGTTTATTTTCTGCTTTTTGGGGTTTTATATCCTTACTGCTACACTAGTTAATGTTTTAGTTGTTCATTAGATGGGACATTGATGTAAATTTTAAACAAGCAGTTATTTATTTTATGTCTATGCGTCAGCTCATGATTTCTGTTCCCCTTTTATGTTTTCTTCGGCTTTTCTCTGCTTGTATGGAACGTGCAAAGTAGATCGTGGTTGGTCCTAAGCAATGTCTTGCGCGAAGCGACCCACTTAGAACAAGCTTCCCTTTATGTTAGGGGAGCACTAAAAATGCAACTTCGATAGGATGCGGGATTTGCATTATCAACATTCATTTGGCACATGGAGGTTAATTTGATCCTCCTTTTTCTTTCAAAACTTTGGGTTCTAATAAATACTTTGTATAATCTTTTAATTATTGAGTTAAAAATTGCTCCCACTGAAGGTGTGGATATGACAATTTTAAATTTTATGCTGGATATGAGAGAGAAAGGAAGTGGACTTCAAAGTTTTTACAAAGTCATTTTGTTTCTAATATGATGAGAGAGAAACCTGAAGGTAAAAGCTTTTTGCCCTTGGACCCGTGATTTATACTCCATATTTTATTTCTTTTGAACATTTTAGACTTACTTCCAACATCAGAAGAAATGTGAACATCCATTCAGCATTTTATCAATATAAATTATTCTTTCACATTTGCACTGTTTTCTTCTACTATTCTTTTTCCATCTCTCCTTTCCATAACAATTAAGAAACATGCTGATGGCAACATCTATATTGGCTTCCCTGCATGATTAACGATGTTTTTGTAAGGTAAATAAGTTTATTAATTTTTGAAAAAGCTCCCATATACAAGAGGTATACGGAAAAGTAGTGACTCTACATCAAAACATGATTCTCTGCAAAAGACACACAGTCATCTATACAAATAGGAATCTCATGGGTGCACTGAAAGCAATCAAAGACGTGAGGCTATTCCTCAAATATACAAAATCATTTTCAATCTCCGCAAAGGCTCTCCTATGTCTCTCCCTCCGTACAACCCACATTAGAGCTAAGGAGGCAACTTCTCATGCCATTGGTCTTCTTTTCCCTCTGGTTGAATGGTTATAGTTTGCCTATATTGTTGAGTTGGCTTCAATGAAGGCAGGCAATAATTATTACTCATGTAGTGGGATAGAAACATTAATTATTAATTGGCTTGTCAGCTTGTCAGAGAGATAGAATACCAGACACTCTAGAATAACTTTAGCTTGCACTCCTTTCTTTGTTTCATCAGCTTGTTGGGGGTTCTTTTCTTTTTGTCTTGTTTCGTTATGTAACTTAGTTACTCATCTTCTATGTTCAAGTATGCTATCATTCAGCAAATATGGATGAACATCCTTCATAGTGAATGATGATAAATGGTTGTAAACCCCTTTGAACTATGTATTAAGTAGTATGGGTGTTAGGGTAAACAAAAATCATGTTCTAGGGTTTGCATGTGCTTCACTTAAATGTTCTCTTTTATATTTCATATCACCTTTAGCTTGGATCTTATGTTACCTTATCAAAAAAAAAAAAAAACTTTAGCTTGGATCAGTTTGTTCAGCATATCAAGTTCCTGTTTTGCTGCTGTCAGATGATTGAGTTGCCATCCAAATTTCCAAATATATTTGCACAAGCTCCTCTAAGGATGCGGTCCAATATTCTGTTGTATGGTCCCCCTGGTTGTGGCAAAACACACATTGTTGGTGCTGCAGCTGCTGCATGCTCACTAAGATTTATCTCAGTCAAAGGTCCTGAGCTGCTGAATAAATACATTGGTGCTTCTGAGCAAGCTGTAAGTGAATTTACAACTTTTCCACTTCTCCTAGTACATTTCTATTATAGAAAAGGAAAGATGGTCAACCAAGGGCGTATATGTCATTTCAAATGCAAATTGATTCCTTCTTGATATATGTGGACCCCACATTCCCTTGACCACAACACTCCCTTAAAAGTTTAAATGTAGTGTTGATAAGACTACTTTTGCATAGAGTTACTCCATGCAAATACTCATTTTGAATATTTTTCTC